CTCTCTCTCTCTCTCTCTCTCTCTCTCTCTCTCTCTCTCTCTCTCTCTCTCTCTCTCTCTCTCTCTCTCTCTCTCTCTCTCTCTCTCTCTCTCTCTCTCTCTCTCTCTCTCTCTCTCTCTCTCTCTCTCTCTGTGCATGAAGATCTTGACTCTGGATACATCTGCTAGCATTCAGCTCTACCTCCTCCTACTAGCTGTGCGTCTATGGCCGCCTTCCTTCCTCAACACAGCGCTGCCCAGCCTGGACTCTAGCGCATGCTACTCGCAGATAGCGCACACGGGCCTAGCAGCACTTCCACACTTCTTGCGAATGAGCAATCTGTTCGAAATCTGGCTGGCCAGTCCCTATATTGACTTGGACTGAGCCTTGACTCGTCCCAGTCTTTGCTTCTCTTGGCTTGACTTGGACCCGGTACCGTCTGCCCACGGCCTGTTTGCTTCAGAATGTTGAGGCTCGGTACCTTCCTGAGTTTTCTTTGGTGTGCTGCTGCTTTTGGGTCTGTGGGACGTGACCTTTGACTGTGGGTCGTGACCCTTGCCTGTGGGATATGAACTCTGACTGTGAGACGTGACTTTTGCCTCTGGGATGTGACTGTTGACTGGGCACCTGTTGGACTTGACTGACCTCTGGGGTACCTGACGTAACCTTTCTGAAACTGGCCGACCTGGCCTCCTTTGGCTCGGGGACTTTGACCCTGAGATTCAAGTTTGGGGTCTGCATTGTGAAATGCCTTTCAAATCAATCTATCATCTTTCTTTTCTATTCAAGTTGGAAAGCCAATCAGGATGAACGAACTGGACGCTGGACCTGGTTTGCAGCAGGGCAATGGCCCCAGTCCGGGTAGAACTGCGAGGTCCCCAGCCTTTTTTCCATTCTGGGGAGCGTCAATCCGGTTCCTATTGCCCCGGCAAGTCAAAATAGTAAAAAAGCTACCCACTCACACTCCTCCCCCTTATGGCGTTGAGGCCCTGAAGACGGCATTTATTACTTCCATGAAGAAGGATGTACCGATCTTCACCCCTCCCTAAGATAGCCTGTTCTAGACTGTTGCTGACCTTGGTAATTAACGTTTTTGGTGCTTGTAATAGCCGGGAAAGATGAACTCTTTTCAATCTGTACTCTATGTCTAGTTAACGTGTGGGAAATCTATGCTATTCTAGGACTGCGGATGAGGCTTGTCTCTCCGTTCTATTATCGGACTCTCAGAGTGCAGTTCTGGTTGAAGATGTCGTCTAATGCTAAGACCCTAAGGGCCTAAACCCTAGCATGTTGACTCTTTGGTATTTTCCTCTCACGAGGGGGGTTATACTTTGAAGTCATTTACTGTTGATAGGTGATCTAACTGGAGTTTGGGGTAGACTCTCTATTTGGGGTTGGTAGGATAGGAGGAGGGGGGCAGACGGGGATAGGAATTGTAGGTATGTGTTGAATGTGGGATGGATGCTTGACGTGTGAGGGGGTTATGAGATATCAACTTAACAACAATGTTAACATGTCAAAGTTTTGTGGTCATTCGTCGGGACTGCAGGTCATGCATGTGCTACTCCACAACCCGGTGGATGTCCCCTGTGAATGGAGCATAAAGAAACCGATGGACAATGCTTCCTCCGTTGACTGGAGTTTCTTTGCCATTGTCCCATCCGGGGGCGTCCTTCAACCCAATGAGTATTTCAGGGTTCAGGTATGTGTTGCCTATCATTCACAATCTCATGGCTTTTTCATAATCTTTCACTGTAACAGACAAGGCAACACAATCTGATGGCTTCTTCATAATCACTGTAACAGAAAATACACATCACTTAGTACATCTCAAGTTCACAATGGAAGACCATAAGCATACACTTAACCAATGAACTCGGTGTTAAATGTTAAGCATGCACGTAACCAGTTAGCAACATTTACTATGATTTACACTCTTGTTTTCCCCTTTTTCTTTCTTCTTCACACACCTGTACTCTTGCCCCCATCTATTCTGGTGGGCGTCAGTCCGGTTGCTTATTACTGGCAAGCATTCAGAAAAGCTGAGAAAAAGCAGAAACGTAAGACACGAGGAAAGAGAAGAAAGAAAGATTAGTTAAGAAATATGCCTCATCCCTGCAGTACTAGACACAAGACGAAGGGGAGGCTCTCTATATGCCCACAAACCCTTTCCTCGGTTTCTCTTTGGGAGGACCCATGTTGGCCGGAAAACTTCCCAGTGGTACCCAAACGTGCACCATGGATCTCCTTAGAAGAAGAAACGAAGCCTGGGATCACATCATTTAGGCAGCCTTCTTGGCTTCCCGTTCCTCCTTTACGCAAGGAAAGGCTAAACTGCACAACCTTCAGGAAAGGAAAGGGGTTCTGACAACCACAATATCTTCTTTGTTAAATAAACAGGGTCTTATGGTCCTGGCCCTATGCAATTCTGGGGGTCGACAGTCCGGTTCCTTTTCCACCAGCAGGTCCAGCACTTCATACGGATTACAAAAGATAAAAAATACTCAGTCAGAACATTCTTCCCCTTGTTATAGGCAGGGGAACCCCCAACAGTGTTGATTGCCCCCTTGTGACAGGATTGACTGTTCGAAAAGCCCAGACACTTGACCAACCCCCTGGCCAGCTACTGCACTACCCCACCCAAAAAACATGCCCCGAAGTACCAACCTGAACTGCTCCTCTCAGACTCTGCTTATAGGCTGCCTCAAAGAAACTTTAAAGCACCAGTACACCACATATCGGCCCGCGGGTGTCAGCATGAAACCCGCACCACTTCGGAGGCCGCCGATTTTTTTTTTTTTTAACGGCAAGCCTGGCCGCGTGGTGCCTCCGAGTTTTGCTTGTGGCGACAAAAACTTTCTGCAAGGCTGGGGCCGTGTACTAGCGGTTTAAGACTTGAGCGATTCAGGAGTGTAGTCCAAGCCCAGCTAACTGGATGATATTCGAATGCTTTGTGACAGACAGCCTCATGCCTGGCACAACTTTCTGGTTGGAGTTGGGGTAGGCCCAGAAAGTGTGACAAGGGGTGTGCCAAGGATTTTAGGAAGTAGGGGTGCAGTCCCAAGTCGGAGCTGGGCTCTCGGTGTGTTAGATCCGGCAGGGTAATCAAGATTGGGATGGGTTCACGAATCAATCAGCGAAAGAGTAGGGACTTGCATCCAATTACACAGCAATTGCGTGAGGGACAGGGATAAAGGGGAAGAATTCCAAAGAAACCAAAAGAAAAGATTGTCTCGAAAAAATTCGGGGGTTCGCCGAGCTCAGCTCCGTAGTGGACAGCGTTGTCTGCGCCGTCCACTGCCTTGCTGCCTTCCCGCTTGCCATGCAAGTCTTTCCCTGCTGCTTGTCTGCTTACCGTGTAGTTTGGTAGCCTTGTCAGTGTTGCTTTCTGCCTTGTTGTATTGCTGCCTTGGTCCCCATCTGTATTCCTTGTCGCTCCATGCGTTTACTTGTGTGCCGTGTAGTTTGGCCACTTTCACATAGCTGCTCTGTGCTCCATTGTGTTGTTGCCGTTGTCGAGCGCATCAGTCCCGCACGGGGACCCTCCCAGCCGCGTCACGCAGGATTATGTAGGACTTATTGCGGAGAGCGTTTGCCTCTCCGGTCGAGTGCGCCAGCCGTACCTCTCGCGAGTCCCTACGACAGGATAGAGTCACGCGAGGCACCGCTACCTCCACCTGCAGGAGCTGTCACCATCCCTTAGGTGGGCATATCCCTGCCGAGCTACTGAACCACATGCGAAAGCTTTTCGTATGCAATTGCAGAGGTGGCCCAGCCGAGGGCGTTTCTCGCTCGCTGTAGCATAGGGGGTACGCGCGGTCGAACGCCCGAAAATCGACCCCGTACGTGAATCGCCGTATTGGGGGGCTGAAGTCCCAAACGCCACTCGACGTCGGTCGACTAGGACACACTACACACCCACGCGTTACACCACAACACTCGCACTTACTCACCCATAACACCTGGAGCCCCACGCGAAACAAACACCACAAACAACGCCACAACACAACAACTCCTAGTCCCTTCAGTATCTGACCCATAACTATATACGGCAAGACTCAGATAGGTACCGCGCGCTGAACTTTCGTATAAGAGGCGCGCGAGTGCATGGCCCTCTCATATCGATCATGCGGGCACATGCAAACATTTGCGCTGATGGGGTACTATGTGGAACTTGTGGCCTCGCGGCCCTTGGTATTCTCGAGGGTCACGTTCGACACTCAAGTGTCGGCTGACAGGCGCTTTGAGGGGTAATCTCTCGACGTCAGACAACCGCCATGTGTGGTTGGAGACCACACCCTCTTCTGCACCCTGTGCAGAGGGGTTGAGTAGACAACTTTAGGGCTGTCGTGGTAGGTTTGACTTTGATGGCTACCACGGATTACAACGTCCAACCATGAAAGTTCAAAAGA